GAGTATGGAATTATCAAGGAAGTATCAAATAGAGCAATTCTCGGACTACAAGGTACTATTTTTAGATTCTCCTAATGTACTGAATTTAGCTTCAAAAAATTATTTCTCCGGAGGCCTCGAGTTTTGGCAAAGTCACGAAACACGCAACTGCATTAAATACACGAAAGCTTTTGAAGTTCCTACGTATTGAAACGTGATTCTTATTAAACATTATTTATGCAACATAACCAACTTTGATTCACCCTGAAAAAGCAGCTTTTTAGAATTTTTGGTACTTTTACTTGTTGAACTTAATCAAAAAGCCGCGGTTTTTATCAAATAAATAATTATAACGGACTTGGTAAACGCGGCTCATGTAATCTAAAATGGATGCAGTGTAGCCGAAGCTTTGCTATACATAACAGTCATTAGAGCTCTTTGAAAACACCAGAATAAAAAATTCTAAAATTTAGGAAAATTTCGGCGTTACTACTGAGTTGCTCAAAAAGCCCTTGCGATAACATTGCAAAAACAGGGTAGATCGAAGAACAAGTATAACTGTAAGAAAGGGAATAGAAATTTGAATCAAAGGGTCCTAAGCCGTCTATGGATTGCTGTTCTGTGAGTTTTAGTGAGCGATGAAAGAAACCGACAAAACTTTCGGGACAACCTAATATATAAAGCTGAATGTTTTGTCTGTTTCTTTGTCTGTCTCTCTGTCTGTCTTACGTACGTACGTTTACGATAGGAAATTCCATTTCTGAACTGATGGACCAAACCTGGCACACATACACTTCAAGGTAAGGCCGCTGTCGTAGGCTACTTTTCGCTGTCGATTGATACCAATTTTATCAAATTTTTGCAAAGCTTTAGCTACAGGGCCGGGATTTGGAACAGGAGGTATTCGAGCATGCTGATTACTAACACAGGGGAATAGGGAATTGGCATGTAGAAGCGGGCGCAGGGAAAGGTCGTACAGGAATAGGGATGGGATTTTTATCATAGTGTTTTGATAGGGCCGGGCGAAGCCGGGTAAGCCAGCTGGTAGTTAGTTATATAAAGTGATTTTGGAAACTGCGGAAATTTTTGCCATATTCCATATTCCAAATTCTTGCCTTTCCTTGAGTCATAGATGTATTGTGGTGCACTAAGCTTGAAATTCCACCACTGGGAAGCTACTCCAGAATTAGCAAACCTTGGAAAGAGCAAAAAGTGCGTTTAGGTAGTACTCATAATACTGCAGTAAGTGCTATAATAAGGTGCGGTTCATATATACGAACACCCAAAATTTTGTAAGTTTTCGGAATTTTTGGGAGAAACTCAAAAAGCGTTGGTACCACGCGATAGAACACAGCCGAAAACGGTATATGATCCACAAGAATAGAAATGGATGCCAATCTTAGGAGTGCTTGAGCGCCTAGTGCGAATTTTTAGCGGTTCATATGCATACACCTCAAACAAAGGTCCATTTTTCATTCAATTGCAATCATTTGAGTCCAAATTTTTTGTAGAGTTACAGTAACAAAGTCTTACATATCTGCTACACACTGAACCCAGCGCAGTTCAAAAAGAGGACCGTTACTTTTTCCAGAAGGCTATAAATGCTTTTTGAGAGATTACGCTCCAAGAACATCCGTTCTTCTCTGTGGTTTACGCGCTCTAATTAGCTTCTACCAAAGCTATGAGATAAAATAAGCTCTTTTGATAGGTATTTTGTTTGACGCTTGGAAAATCTTTGGGTTTTCGTGTCGTTTTTCAACCAAGTTCCAACCTTACCACAGAGTTAGCACGATCGAGCCTCAAAACTTAGAGCTTCTGAAGCCACACAACGAAGTAAGCATATAGTATGTAGAAAGTCACAAGTCACAAGACTGTATATTTGGCTAGAAAAAGTCAGCAGCGTAGAGCGTTTGTTTTGGCCACGCAGACGTCATTTCGCCAAAAACACTGTTTTTACTATTGCAATCACACCTTCATTTGATTTATAGCTCCCAGCCTCAAGATCGGTTCTACAAACAACCCAAAAACTTTGGCACAGATACATCATCATGCAAACAATGCAGCTGCTTCATATCGAATGTTTGCTCAAGAGAGAAGATGAGTTTTGAGGCTCGATCGTGCTAACTCCGTGGTAAGGCTGGAACTTGGTTGAAAAATGGCACGAAAACGCAAAGATTCAAGCGTCAAACAAAATACCTATCGAAAAAGCTTAAATTATCTCATAGCTTTGGTAGAAGCTAATTAGAGCGCGTAAACCACAGAAGAACGGTTTTTGGAGCGCAATCACTCCAAAAGCATTTGGAGCCTTTTGAAAAAAGCATTTGGAGCTTTTTAAATGCACTGGGTTCAGTGTGTAGCAGATATGTCAGACTTTGTTACTGTAAATCTACAAAAAATTTGGACTCAAATGATTGCAATTGAATGAAAAATGGACCCTTGTTTGAGGTGTATGCATATGAACCGCTAAAAATTCGCACTAGGCGCTCAAGCACTCCTAAGATTGGCATCCATTTCCATTCTTATGGATCATATACCGTTTTCGGCTGTGTTCTATCGCGTGGTACCAACGGCTTTTTGAGTTTCTCCCAAGAAGTCCGAAAACTTACAAAATCTTGGGTGTTCGTATAATTATGAATCGCACTTTACAAGAAAATAGCTGCCTTAAGCAAGGCAACCAGAATATGTGCAAAACCTTTGAAACAACCTAGTTAGTTGCGACCACTAAATAACGAAAATTTTCAAACGATAACGGGCGAGTCCATAGTTTCATTGCCTAAAGGCCCTTTTGAGCATTGATCACGGTCCAACACCCGCCATAGCAGACCTATATTTCCCTCCGGAGGAGTGGAGGGCAGAAAATCATTTCGAAGGAAGGTGGTAACGTTAGCGACGCACATTGGAAAGTTCTTTTTGGGATGCTCACCAAAGTTATTGCAGTGTTGTTGCATGTAGAGCATCTATACAAAGCATTAGTTTCGATATCGAAAAACAGCCAGAAGCTCATATATGAAAAGTTGTTATCATACTTTCGCTTGCTGACCAGCGTAAGGACCGAATTGTCGATCCATTGTGGGATTTTCTTTTGAAAATAAACTGATCAAGAGATATGGCATTTTGACCACATAGGCTCTCAGATCTGCAATTTCGTTAGTGCGATTCAGGGCAAAACGCTTTTAATGGTACAGGCACTATCGCAGTGAACACGAAAATATCTAAAAACCAGCTGCTTCGTGAACAAGGCAACAAAAACGAACAGATTTTCATGAAAAAAGTTAGAATTTTACATGCAATTCAAGCTGTTGTCCCTATGAAGCAAATCCTGCAAAAAGAGCTGAGATAATCGCGGAATTTATAGCTCTTCCTTTTGCTTGCTTATAGGCTGTTTCTTTTTATTCCAAACCCAAAAAAATTGTTACTTGGTAAACAGGTAAACCCCCTGCAAATTGCAGCTATTTTTGGTTTTTCCGGCTAGTTTTGACAACAAGAACAACGAAACAATAACAATAGAATGAATGGGACATGAGGCAGCAAAATTATGAAATTCCCAAAATGTGAGTTTAAACTCTATTATTATCAACATTAACTTTACAGAGTAAATGTTTAATTACCTCTCTAAAATATAAAGGTTTTAAAATCTAGCGTTGAACAGCATGCACTCGTAAAGTCAAGAACTGCGATTTCGGTGGCAAATTCCGCATGTATTGCAAAGAAAGCAGTTTTACGAGGTTCGAATACAGCGAATGTACGGCCTACCACTTGAATATATATGCCAATCTCTACAAAAAAAGAATAAATGAAAAAATGTGCTTTGCAAAAGGTTTGCATTACTGCTAAACACATTCAAAATTCTCTAACAAAAATTGCGAAAATTTGCGAGATTTGACAAAGTAGAAACCGAAATTGAACTTCGGAGATAATCGCAAGTTATTGGAGGAAATATTCTGATAGTGCAGCTGAAAAGAGGAAGAATGAAAGCTGTTTAAAGTATTCATTTATCTTCAGTCCGTAAGTCCAAACTCGGAGTTTTGCATCGACATGATATTTTGTTCCTATGTTTTTCTTCGATTTTCTGCTAATAAAAAGCACGAAAGCTTACCTATGAATTTCTGATGTGGACACTATTGTAGTTGTAACCAACGGAGATTATCGTTAAGCGAACGAATGTCAAATAACTGATTTTTGAAAACATTTGAGTGAACGAATATCGAATGATTGATTTTGAAAAATTTTATATGAATGAATATTATCAATTTCCGATTTTTATATTGTTCGAGTTCGGCTATTAGAATATGGGCGCATTCCCAATTCGAATTTTTGACTATTCGAATAAACGAATAAATGAATAGTCGAATATTAAAATATTTAATACAGGTGTTCAAAACTTCTCGAATAATCGAATATTCGAATAACTGTCTTTTGAAACTCCTCAAATATCGAACATTCGAAAAAGTTATTCCAAATGGTCGAATCAACGAATTATTCAAATAAAGGTTTTTTCATTTATTTGACTATTCGATAATCGAATATTCAAACTTTCTCAAGTATTCGAATAGTCGAATATTTTGCATAAATTGTTCGAATACAATATTCAATTCGAGCTAGATATTATGCGTGATCACGTGCAGTTTCACAGAAATTTTTATCCTATTTTCTGATTTTTCTTCAGATGTTCTTCCAAACATTACAAAAGTGAAAATTTTTGCGTTGTTTAACTCCATCTTGTAAAGCTCGCTTTGCACAATCGAATGGTAATATCCATTTTTTATGTGTTTTCTGCAGTGGCATTATAAGGAGCGTGGAATAAGTATGCATCTACATACACATAACATTTATAACTTGATAAATGCCACACCTTCATAGCATGATCTTGCAGTAATCCCAAAAATTATTTAATGCCCCGGCCTAAGGCATTTTATTGCATTACTCCATACTTGGTTAAATCTAGAGTCGGAAGGAACTACTCTTCGAAATAAATGACACGTCAATACCATTTATTCTGAAAAAATGGTTTACGAGCTCCCTCAAAAAATGAACAGATCACTCCAATTTGCTGCTTTTTCTTCTTTCTCAGATGATGATCCGCTCCTTTGATTTTGCTGTTGTTGTAACGTTTTTTCCAGTTCTGCTTTGGGTGGTTCTGATTGTTTCACAGCGGCTTTTTCGACAGGTGCAGGCGCCTCTGAATTTGAAAAATCTTTAATAAGCACAACCATCGTTTATTTCATAGAGTAGTACAGTTACAGACGCAGCGACGAAAAGCGTCGAAAGTTCATAGGGAAATGATTTTCGAGATCGCAAGGTGATTATGGAAAGGCAGTTGCAGAAAGGATCCAGAGAAACAACAAACTTTCGATCTACTTTATTTGAAATGGTCTTTGTTGAATCGTCGCGATGACAAATTTGATGATCCCGTAGCATGCTCAAGAGACAAGGAAATTCAAATTTTACATTTTTAGTCACCCTGATTTCACGGATAGACGCACCCTTCTCATTTTTTCAAGCAAGCAGTCGGCCGCACCACCGTGCCTCGCAAAATGGTTGCTTTCCCAAACATTTCTTATAGATAAGAAGGAGTACGGAAGAGGTCCTTTGTTCATGAAATTTCTGACCGGTGTAGTTCAGAAAAAAGGTGCTTCTGTACTCATGCAATTAGGGTATACTTTTAGAGCAACAACAGACCGGTAACTGGAAACGTCGATCAAAAATGAGAAAAATATATCAGTTTCCAAGTCCCGTTTTCATAAAACCTGGGCATTCGTTGTATTTCTGATTACTTCTGTGCCGAACATGTTTGTTAAGCGATGTTTGATCTTCTTTCAATCACGGCCCTACTTTCGACGCCTTCATCTTCCTTGGAGGCCGGATGAGCACCGCTTTCCGAGAATAGTCTGCACCGGAAGTAAATGGTCACGGCAGACGACATCGAAACGTAGGGCCGTGTTTGGAAGAAGAAACGTTGCTTAAAAAACCTGTTCAGGACAGAAGTAATCAGAATATCTAAACAGAAGTTACGTAGTTTATCGTTTTGTCGTATTTCTCCATCGCAAAATTTCAATGGAGATTTTTTTAGTGAAAATAATTTTAAAGGATTTGGTGGTTAACCAAATCTTCTGAGATTCTAACAATCCTTGCGCACTGGATTTCCAAAAATCATCTCCGCATATCGCGAATATCATCTGAAAAAAAGTTATGAAATTCGGACGGTTTCGCCAAGATTTCTTAACTTTTTTCCACGCGAATAGGTGCTACATTGTATTTGCTTAAGTACGGGGTCCCAATAAAGCGCGCTAAGACTGGAAAGCGACAAGTGTCTGCAGAAGCTTCGTGTACGCACGGACCTGGAAGTTATTGAAATATATCCTATCGGTTCACGAGCATTAGTAAGATTAGAGCTTTAGATGATCTTATTCGCTAGCTTAAAGGCAGCGTACACCCAAAATCTAAGTTGCCTAATTTTCTAGATTTTTCTACACCGTGTATATACTGGGCCCAGAAGAAGACCAACTGCGTTGGTCCGGTCCCCCAATGTTGCTTCTGAGCGGAGAAAACCTCCCCCCCCTCAATTTTCTTTCACGCCGCCCCTTTTCTTTCGCTCCGCCTCCTCCGGACGAATCCATAACAGCGTAAGCTGCAATTGCAGTTGCAGTTGCTGTTGCAACATCTGTTGCATTTGTATGGGTGTACGCCCTTTAACGGGTTTAGCACCAGGGATAGTTCGAAAGGCAACACTAAATTACATCAATCATCAAAATGCCTGCGATGCTTCGCACTCGCGCTGTTTTAAAGCATTAATACAAATCTTCATCTATTCATAAGCAGTAGCAACGCTGTTTCGCTATTTACTTGAACATGGAACGGGAGCTTAGCAAATGCTTTTTGCGATAGAGGAAAAGCTTTGTAGCAGTCGTGTAACGTTTAATTCAACTAGCTTGGCGGCTGGAAGGCGGGGCTTTGTACCTAGGCCGCTCGCGGCCGCGAAGTCTGCGTCTCTCCCACGCATGCTCTCTGATCATCACTCAGCCTTATAGGTCACGAAGCCTCGCCTTTAAGCTGCTAAGCCATTTAAATCAAAGGGTACAGGGCCCGGCACAGATGGTCTGAAGTCAAATTGGACTTCGTTTTTGGAGTAGAAAGCCAAGGAAATATCGTTCGTGTAAAGTCCGGCGGAGCCCCGAAAAAAAAACTTGGCAAACATGTCAGGTTTTACCATCGGGTTGTTTCAAACAAACAAGCAAGGTCTACAGCACAAACTCTCACATGACACCGAATTCGTGCTATTCACAATAATACTCCACTAGATTATGTGAAAGTTTCTCCTTGAGCACAAATGTGCATTCATCTAAGCTTAGTAATCTGGAAACGCTGTAGCTTGATATAATGAAAATTTGATATAAAGATCAATCAGACTGTGGTGATGCTTGCTTGCTTTGTACTGGCCCTTCTTCCGATTGTTTGCTCCTGCTCTTGCTTCAGTGACTGTTTGCTCATCATTCATTTGCACTTCTTTCGAAAATGGCTATGGTTCCTGCTTCTCCTAACACGTTTCGGACCTGTGCTTTACATGGTGCAGCACGCTGATTTAAAGAATCTTCTTGACGTTCACTGGAGGTTGTGTTTTAATCCACGGTTAACATTCAAAGGCCTAAGCTCTACTCTTCAATGACTCTGTAGAGCTGTGCCCCCGATCTTTGTTTAGGAGATATGAGGACAAATCGAACAACAGTTGCAACGAAGTGCGACAAGGCGAACGACGCGTGCGACATCGCAACTTTTCTCTTTAAGTTCAAAGAGAAAAAGCGTAGTTTTGGTAATGTTGTGTACCTTGTACAACATACCCTTTAATTCAACTGGCTTGGCTCCTGAAAGGCGGGGCTTCGTGACCAAGTCAAGGCTAGATTATGACCAGAGAGCAAGCGCGCGAGAGAGACGCAGACTCGTCGCGGAGCGAGCGGCTTCATTAGGTCACAAAGCCTTCCAGGAGTCAAGCCAGTTGAATTAAAGGGTAGGTACTTTTGAATACTATTAGAAAATGAGTTCTTGTCTCTATCTGTCAAGAAAGCGCAGAAGTTTCTCTCAAGCGACGAACTTGAAACACTTCGAATTCACGCAGATCCTTGGGTATGGGGCTTATTTGAAATGCTGATTACAGATGTAGCCCACAGTCTACGAAAAAAGGTCCCTTTGTTGGCTAACGGCTGAAAGTACACTCTTTTTCGCCGCGCGCGATTTTGCGGTCCGAAACGTGTTAACTCAGACAGTCGGTGCCGTAGCTCCGGAGGACAGTCGAAATCTGGCAGAGCCGCGGAGGACCCAATTGACCATTGAGAGCGGGGCGAGGGGGCGGTCCCTTCTTGTAGGTCACGGTGACGTCACAAGCAGGCGAATGGGACACTTCTCCGGGACGCGCAAATTGCTCCGGAGATACGCCAGATTTGGGAGAGCCCCGGAGCAGAGATTTGCGCTCCGGAGGTACGCCAGATATGGGACGGCTGGAAGGGCTCCGGAGCACAAAATGGGAGGTCTCCGGAGCATAAATGGGAGGTCTCCGGAGCACAAAATGGGAGGGCTCCGGAGCACGAGTGGCAATCCCCCGCGGGTGAAACCCGCGGCTTGGCCATTTCTGCTCCGGAGGTATGCCGTCGACTGTCTGAGAACTGCGATCCCACGGCTGGCAACTCTTGCTCTGTATTTCCTCTCAGGCTTTGCTTACCTCTTTCCTGAGCAGCACTTCCTCTTCCTGATCCCTCTGCTGCATTCCTTTGCGAGGGTTTATTTTCTGATTGCTCTCCTGGTGCCAGTATGCATACCAGGACGTTAGGGATGTCATCATAATCTGGGTCCACCACCACCGAGCATGCAAACAACACAATCCCTTCGAAACGAGTGAAGATCTAAATGTATATTATCAGTTTCACTGTTTTCTGCATCAGATTTCGTTTTCAGAAGTATCTTAGAATGCACAAGGCAATAGTCAGAAGATGAGGTGGCCGTTACAAAGCTGCATACAAGGATGCAGCACAAAAACTGACTCCGATTCTGTTTTTCGTATCTGCAGAACGCAAAGTAGATGTTATGAGAGTGTTACTGCAAGAAAATCATGCATACGAAATGCAATTTAGGCTCATGAATGTTTAGCACAATTTTGAGCACAGATTATACAAATCAAGTTGGCTGAATGTTCTGGACTAGCGTGAGGCAGCATTTGCCCAGTCGCAGTTAGCGTATACTATTTTTGGCAATATGATGGCTTCTAACTTCCCATAGAGGAGTTCAACAGAAGAAAATAGATTTGTTATCAGTCTTCTATGCTGTATCCCTTATTATGCATTATGCAGCCTTTTGCAAATAGCCTCCTCGACTACTGACCACTCTTTGGCTCTTTTGTTACCTGTGAAAGTGTACATGTCGCACGTTACCAAACCAGTAGCTCGGAGTATGTGTAAAGAAGATGTACAGGGTGTCCCAAAAGTATGTATGCACTGTTTGACCGCTAATATTTCTCTTCCCAATGAGTCTTCTGTCTACCTTCAGGCACCATTTTGGAACTGGTTCAAGTACCATTAGATTTGCAGTGTGTCATTACTGATTGGGGTATGAATTTATAGCTTACAGCGTCATCGTGGATTCTGTGTTTCACCGTGTTTCAAAAGTTCTCAAAAAATCTAAAAAGTGGTGTCGCAGGGTATCAACGTGCGCTGACATTACTCAACTTTTCACGAAATAAGCTTTTCGAAAGAATCGCAATTTTAGAAAGCTTTGTAAAAGCAGCTTTTGCCTTTCATCTTTTGCAATTCATCCGTTCATAATTTATTAAAACCATTACAGTGAAATGTAAAGATCATTTTAGTTTCAGCGACTCTCTTTAGCCTAGCGTAGGAGTTTTCGGATTGCTTGGATTACATTCTGAGGCGAAATGGCCCTTAATCTTTCAAAGCCCTCTTTGAATTTTCTACCGTAATGCCACAGTAATGAGGAGCGCTCAGTGATTTGCCCCATACTTCAAATGTAAGTTGAAGCCAGCTCTATAAAATGGCACATAGTGGAAAAGAATTCTCGGGAAGAGAAAAATACTAACGATCGAATAATGTTTGCATACGTTAGGACACCCTGTATTTCCCACTTTTAGCACACACCAACAAAATTTTTATCCTGATTTGATCGTATAAATGTCAAAACGGGACTGCAACTTCAGTCTTGAGCGTGAAAGTACCCAGTTACCTGCATTGAAAAAACTGTTACAAAGACGTTCTGTTTCGATGGACTTTTGGGTTAGGGAAACGTCGCACAGTGCGATTTTTTATGCAGTCACTCGGCAACAGATTTTCACAACTACCAACCCATTTGAAAGATAAAATGTGCTAAAGTTTAGGAAGTTTCAATGTGACCACTATATTTTTCCGAACCAGCTTATTATTTCACTTATTCTAGAGAATCAATATCTTCAACAATGTTCACGCATACGCTGGCATCAAAACCTTTAAAGGCAGCGTCCACCCAGAATTTGGCCCCCCATGTTTTCGTCATTCTGGGGCCTTTCCGTGGCTCTGATTACATTTCCGAACTTCAAACTCTCTAAAATTCGCGAAAAACCCGATTTTTGGGGACCCATTCTTGAGGGCGCGGACGAGTTTCGAACTGCTCGTCCCCGTCGGCAGGCCAGCGGGAAGGAGCTGCAACTGCATGGGTGCAGTTGCATTGCAGTGTGCAGTGTGCAGCTTCTGCTCACTACCTTGTCAATACGTGTCGGGAGTCACGTATTGACAAGGTAGTGAGCAGTCCCTGATGGGCGGAGTCTGATATCAGACTCCGCCCAGCCAGGGAATTTCAGGCCCCCTATCTCCATTCAGAGACAAAGTTGAAAGACCGGACCAACGCAGATGCCCCTTTTCTGGGGCTTACATTCAGAATCGACACTAATCGGAGGGGGTTAGGTTTAGCCTGGACACTGCCTTTAAAGGCCAACGAAGGGAATGACGCGTAATCACGAAAGGAAAGCCTACAGAGATTATTTTACTAGGTATTTGCCATGTATCTTATATATAAAGCTGAATGTATGTTTGTCTGTCTGTCTGTATGTATGTATGTATGTACGTAAAGAGCATTTGAAAAATTCTGACGATGGCGCGACCGCGCGCGACACGCACTCCACTTCCGGAAATCGCATTTTCTTGTTTTCGTCTTCAGTCGAATGTTTTTTCGCTTACGTATGTTAATACAAAGACACTGGAAGTGACTGAGTCAAATGTTGAGGTGATGCCTTCTTGTGTGAGTGTTTTGTGCTCCTGCGGGCGCGAAGTCCGCAGTAAAATCCGTCGTCACGACTTTATAAATGAACTATATGTTCCGAATAGAAACATTCGTGAACCGATCCGGACCAAACTTGGCACACATACACTTCGTGGCGGGGCGAGTGTTGTAGGCTACTTTTTGTCGTCGATAAATATCGATTTTATCGATTTTTAGCGATTTTTTGCAGAGTTCACCTACGGGGCTGCGAGTTGGCACAGGGGGATAAGGTGAGCATGGGGATTCCGAATACAATATTATTACAATATACAATATTGATACAGTATTACAGTTTTCAGAATTATCGATTGTTTCATCGACTTTATTGATTTTTTGCAAAGTTTTTGAGCTACGGGGCTGGAAGTTGGCACTAGGGGATAATCGAGCATGCGATTACGAACACAATATTAGTTTTCAAAATATCGATTACTTTTATCGATTTTATCGATTTTTGCAAAATTTGAGCTACGGGGCTGGGAGTTGGCACCGAGTGATAATCGAGCATGCGATTACGAATGTAGTAACCGTTTGTGAGAATATCCAATACTTTGTTTTTTTAGAACCACGGATTAGAAAAGTGTAAGTTGGTATGCTGATTCAAACAAGGTAATCTTTATTTCTCATCCTAAATCCTGCATCAAAATATTTCTCCTGTCATTTGGGACCTGGATTTGGGTAAGGGATAAGCAAGTGCGGTAATTACAAAACAGCTTTCTTAATAATTCGAGTGCTAATGCCACGCTCAAACGTATTGAAAGAGTACACTGATCATTTCTATAAAACCACAACAATTTCACTTTTTTGGCGAGGTCTAAACTATTCTAAAAAAATGTTTTATTCATAACACTTTTTTAGATATCAGGTTCAAATTGAGCTAGAATAGATTGTAGAAATTTTGCATGTATACATTCTATACAGGGTGTCCCAAAAGTAAGTAGACACTTTCAATCGCCAATATCTCTCTTCGCAATGGGTATTTTTTCCACTCAAGTAGCATTCTGTAGAGGAGGCCTCAACTTAGATTTGTAGCATCGATCGAACCACCGATCGCAATTCGTTACTGTGGGATTATGGTAAGAACTTCCAGCATGTAAAATCATTGAGAAATATGCCATCTGACAAAAATTTTTCCAAGAAATCTGATTGTGTACTAGGGTTTTCGCGTCAGAATATGGCTTCCAATGGCCTAAAATCCTTGTCGAATTTCCTACAGTAATCCTACAGTAATGAAAAGCGAGCGATGATTTGCTCTATCTAAGTTAAAACCTCCTCTACAGAATGGTACTTAAAAGGCGGAAAAAGACGCAAAGGGAAGAGAGATATTAACGATTGAAAAGTGTGTACTTACTTTCGGGACACCCTGTATGTGGGTTAACATGCCATGAATATTTTTAAAAAAACCGGTGCCTCCAGGTTTTTAAATTTATTGGAAGGAGATCATGATGGCGTCTTTGAATAAAAAAGGGAAAAATTATTTGAGTGGTACCGCTGGGTTGACCATTGAAAGTTATCATATGCGCATTTTTGCGCAAAATCCCAGGATGTCTCTGAAGCGAGATACAGGCAATTTTGATTTTTTTCTGAAACTTCTGGTTTCACCGAATATTGATATATCCATACGTAGAGTGATAAGCCTTTGGGAAAGATTAAACAAAAATAACAACACCAAATCCTTTCATTATGAGGCGAACTGCATTGCATTCACGTCTGTCTCAAAGGCAGCGGCTTGGCAAAATGGATCACTGGAAACGCGCTTCAGAAGGGCATAATGACACCCATTCAACGGAATGAGCGGAGGTGGTGGACTTTTATTGGGTTGGTGCAAAAGTTCTTTTGCACCGAATTCAAAAATTCATAACTTGTTTAATTCTCAACGAATCTGCAAAATCTAGATTTTGCACAAGAGAAGAGCTCATGCTCTTTGCATGGGTACTCAAATCGTTCGCTATCGAGAACAGATAAAGGAGATTGAAGCGAAAACCAAAATCACTAAAAATTTGAATTTTTCGTGTAGGGTCATAAAAAATCGGAAAGATGCAACAAAAATCGGAGCAGTCAATATTGTGGGCTTTTTCACAAGCTCTTTCCAACAGTGCAAAGTTTGCGCCGATTGAGCGTCTCTGTGAAAAGTTATGATTTTCGAGCAAGCAATACAAGAGGGCGAATTTGATTTATTTTGGCATTTCAGGAAATTCATAACAGCTTGTGAAAGAGCCTACAATAGTGACTGCTCCGATTTTTGCAAGTTGCAAGTTGCAAGTTTCCGATTTTTTATAACCCTACAGGAAAAATTCAAATCTTGAGTGATTTTGGTTTTGAGCTTCTATCTCCTTTATTTGTATACATTGACGAACAATTCAAGCACATTTGCAAAGGGTATGAGTTCCTCTCTTATGTAAGGTTTAGATCTAGCAGATTTGTTGAGAATTCAACAAGTTATGAATTTTTGCATTTGGTGCGAAAGAACTTTTGCACCGACTTAATATCTCAGGACGAAATGTGCTGTATATGAGGAGCCACTAACGCTAATATGAGGCTAGGATCTGGCGCAACACAAGCCAATGGGAAAGGCACACTGCGAATGAGATAAACTGTAGTGGTTGCAGGACTTTGGATATAAAGTTGTCTACTTTTGTGGCCATCTTGTATATAAAGCTGAATGTCTGTTTGTATGTCTGTAAGTCTGTCTGTATGTTTGTCTGTGTGTGTGCGTATGTTCCGAATAGAAATTTTCACTTCTAAATCGATCCGGACCAAACTTGGCACACACATTTGGGGGCGTGGGGGGAGGGGTCGTAGGTTACTTTTCGCCATCGATCGATATCGCTTTTGCCGGTGTTCAGCGATTTTTTCGGGGGGGGGGGGTAATCGAGCATGCTGATTTCGAATGCAATATTAGTTTTTGGACTTACCCGCTGCTTTTATCGATTTTATCGATTTTTTGTAAAGTTTAAGCAACAAGGCTTGGAGTTGGCACAGGGTTAATCGAGCGCGCTGATTACGAGTACAATATTCGGCAATCCGGGCCCCAAAATTTTTTGTCGTAGAGCTTGCTCAGACTTCTTGTATAAGGGTTATTTTACATGCTGATTACAGATATCACACTTTTTCCGCAGAACGTCATCCCGTGTGGTTACGATAGGTGTACGGTAAAAAGTCAAAATCATGAATTCGGCTGGAGTTCGGTCCATATGGCTTATTCGACATGCTAATTTACGAATATCATCTCTCTGTCTCTCTTTTTTTTCTCTCTGCATATTGGGACCTTTTCATAGAGATGTGGTGGTTATATGGCATTGGGTCGAAAACATAGATTTGCTTTAAACTTCGTCTAGGGTGGTCATTTAGCGCGCTGAACATGAATATCATTCTGATTTCGCAGGATAGTGCATTTTCTTGGGTTACGGCGGGTGTAGATGGGTCGAAGTTCCAGATTTGCTCACAACCTTACCTGTAACGGTTCACAAGATTATGAATATGATGCTTGCTCGCTGTCATAACGCATTAGTGAAGTTATGGTGAGTTGCGTGGTTTGAATGCACATTTTTTCGCTTGCGGGCCAGATATTAGATCCCAGATATTCACGAAATGGGGGAACGGTCATTTTGCATGGTGTTCTCCAGCGTCATCCTGATAACCTGTTTCGACGCGTAGCGCGCGGCAAATCTCCCTGCCCCTGTTTTTGCTTGGGCAAAAGCCGCCGAAGGGTGTATCGCATTGCGTATTGGTGTATATAGGGTGTATCGTATTGCGTTAATGGTCCTACAGGGAAAGCATTACGGTCGTGGGAAACTTTTATACCACACGAATGGCTAAATGTGGGGATTAAGCACGATATTCTTGAAAAAGCACTTTAGGTAATTCCCTGCCAATGTCTCAGGCAGATTCATGATTTTTACCCGCTGCCACGCGAAATGACTACGATATTTGTCATCAGCGGCTCAGATAACCCTCATATACCGAGTTTGAGCAAGATCCGTCACAAAATCGTTTTGGGGCCCGGATAGCCAAATAGCGCCATCAGTTTTTAGAATTACCCTTATTATCGATTTTATTGATTTTTTTGCGAACTTTGAGCTACGCGACTGGGAATTGGCACAGGGGTAATCGAGCATGCTGATTACTAAAACAGCGGGGACATGTAGACGTGGGCACCGGGGAAGGTTGTAGGGGTAAGGATGAGAGCTTTACCATAGGGTTTTGACAGGGCCGGGCGGAGCCAGTTATGCCAGCTAGTCCTATCTAAAGAGCAAATGCTTCTCTGCTCGTAGCTAAAGGTGGTCCCTGACGAATGTACATATGAGGCAAGAACATGAATGCGGGCTTAGCTGCTAGTGGGTTCGCGTGCCTGCATCTTGTGCGCGGCAGTGATGTTTACTCCGAAACAGATCCGTCAAGGCGAAATATGAGCCGTTCAAAAAATTGTACTGATGATTTCTATATTATCCACCTGATCATTCCATTTTTCCACATCGCCTATGGAATTGCCATAGACTGAATCGTACGCCGTTAATTCTTAATTATCCAGTCACTCAAAAATGAGTGGCACCTGTGCATTAGGAAAGTAGCCGAACGTCGGCGAACCTCTAATATATTTAGAAGGCCCCTTTTAATGAAAGGAAACGAAGCTGAATTGAGTAAAAGGTACAATGTATGCGAGTGGTTCTTGGAGGGAGATGCCGCTGATGGCTACACTCCCGGTGCACAGTTACCACTCGCTCTTGAGCGATTGGATACTCAGGAGTGAGTGGCTCACCATTCAGCCGGGATTTCGTAGGCCATTTAGAATGCGGAGTTCATCAAGTTGATGATACAGAAATCATCAACAATCGTGGGACGAATTTGACTGCGGTCTTTGTTCAAGCATAAGTGCCACAAGAGCTTGGGAATTTAGAACAGGAATTACTTTGATGGTAAGTTGAACTTCCATTATCTGAGTTATATATGGAAGAAAACGATTCGAATGGAGATACTAAGTTGTTCTACAAGTTCTGTTCGATTTGCAGATTTTCTGATCTAAAATGACATAACTTATTTTGAAATTAACATTTTGAACAAATTAAGCTTTGCTGTGAGCTGGACTATGGTTACCATAGATACAGTGTACAGTAATACAGTACATGTGAAAAAGTCAAGTGGAAGAGGAGAAAAAACTTGTAGCATTCTGCAAGGTTCCCTTCAAGACCGCCCAAGACATACTAATTCTCCATATAAGGATAGGCAGATAATTTGGCTGCCGTCATTAACGCATTCACGACAACGCCGATTTCTCGATTACTGCCGTTTCACCAAAGCCTTTTGCGCTTTGTCAAACTTACGTATTGTCCGAAACAGTAGTCTTTTCGGAAACTGAAACATGTCTCGAGAATTTCGCCACAAGGATTATCGAAGGTGCTGACTATCAAAATATGATTTATTTAAGTTTTTGGCATTAGTAGGGTTACGGTAGTCATTCTGTAAAAACCCAACATCATGGACTATCATGAAAAATTGTGTTTTGAGGTTATTTCACGTGCTTATTACGAATATAGTGCCCACTTTGTTCACTTCTTTCCCACATTAGGAATATGGTAGCAGTAGGATAGCTTTTTGTTAAAAATTAAGTCGATGTAAGACTGCAATATCAAAACTTGAGACTATCACTTTCGTAGTCAGCATGCTGCAAAAGCCTATGTATGTAAGGTTTGAGCTCCCTGGAATGAACGATTCAAAAAATCAATAAAATCGATAAAATCGATTTTAATGGGCTAACGTAAGTCTCGTGCCCCTCCCTACTCTTGTGCATGTAGACTTGAATTTTCAAAAACAAAATTCTCAAAAACAGCACCACTCGGCGAAAAATTTGAGCTAATATCTCTGCCTTATCTCTATCTACGGTATACCTACCATTACATTACGGTATCCCGAGCCCGGACCACTCTGGCTGGAGATTCGCCAGGGTGTCCCCAATCATGTGCCAGAACTCTGTAGAATTCCATTGTAAACTGGCAAAACTAGAGCTTTAGGAATCTTACGACTCATCGATGGGTCGTATTGCCGTGAGTGAGTTAAGTAGCGTATACTTCAAAGATCATTTCATTAATGGAGAAAATTTGAGTTGTTTTTGCTGCAGAAGTTTTTATAGCTAATAAAAAATAAAAGGCCATTATCTAGGCACTCTGTTGCGCGTAGATATGTCGAATTTTTGATATTTGGTTTATTTTCTTGCTGTCGCGGACGAAAAAAAGAAGCTGAGGTTGGTGGTTTCTGCTTCCTTTCGTTCTACTCTAACATATGCAATACTGAATACATCATTGGCCTATATACGTAGATGTTGTCGATTGTTGAATAACTGCGCTTGTCCTCAATCTTTGAAAAAATCGAAGTAAGACTTTCTCCATGTGGGAGGAAAAGTGTGCGTAGGTTAGACATTACTCTTTTGCTTATAAAATACAACTTAGGTAGTTCTACGGGCATTGCGGAAAAACCCTCATAGAAACTTATTCCGAAGCATGAGTGCATTTTGGTACCTCAACAATAAAGGCTTGAAATTTTAACACCAGCAAGCTATTTCATCTAATTTCAATAATCATTAGATAGAGCAAAAAATGCTTTTACATGGTATCCATAATGCTGCAAAAGATGCAAAACTCTAAGAATATAGTTGCGTGAAAACAATGCAACTAAAAATCCGCAGAACTTTTGGAACAGCCTAATAGAAGCCAAGAAAATGCTGTTTTGAGACTGCGTACGAGAGGGCGCCAAAGTCGCCTTTGTTACGATTCTATTAGCGCCTTATAGCTTTATAAAGTGTGAGTGATGCCCGCCTTTTTGCTAAGACTCTGTAATATCGACCGTTGTTCAAGAAAGCAAAAGAATATTTTTGGAGTATGCATTCGTTATTGATGTGAACACTGCTCAGTACAACTTTGAATCAAACGTTATTGCTGCCGAGTGAGTAACGCAATAATTAAAACGATGCTGCTTTATCATAAATATTATCTTTACATTTCATCTCGAAAATAGACTTGCAGAATTTGAGGAAAGGTTAGGCCATTATAAATCTCGAGCAAAGGTGCACTGTCGGCAATGATTGACGGTGTACAAAAAATAACCTGACTCTGACTAGCTTCCATTACCTAGAATTGTGGTTATTGAAGCAAAGTCTAGAGAAAGTTCTGAACTTTTTGAGCTTTTAATTATGTCAATCATGATTCTTAACGCTAAGTTTGCATTATCCTGTTCTCTTGGTATTCTCAATGATCTGCTCTTTTTTTTTTCACGAGACCACCATTACCGAAAGAATTCAATCTATTCAATGATGACATGCATCTGTATGATACTGCATGATGATGTACAGCTCTACTTACGTATGTCCATTGTCAAGTTTATGCTAGTGTTTCTCAAAAAATCACTAAATTGTTCAAGCGGGTGGCTTGTTAGAACTACGGCAACCGCCGCGCAAAAATGACAAAATTGCAGCAAAGAGCTTCGCCTTTTCGCATAAAGTGAGTGAGTGAACAGTGTCTCTATTAGCTGATTTTCTTGGGTTAATCTCTTTAGTTTGTTGAAAATTTAAATTTTCTTACGTCTGTGAGGTTCGCGCTCCATTTGTTAATTATATCCTTTAGAACTTCTAAATCGCTAGGATCTTGGTCATCACTAAAAAGTCCCTTTAGTCGATGGAATAATCTGATGCGGATAACTCTAGCGACACTTACATTGTATAACTCACATCAACCATGCCCGAGCCTTCTGGAAGCAGATAAATATCAGCATCCTCATCCTCTGTTTTGGTAAAGTTTTTAGCTACTTCGTCAACAAAGCAGTTGTAGGTCTGGAAACATGTAAATCAAATATGTAGTTAGCTTTGTAGTACCAGCTTGTAATTCGATTGAAACGCAACATATAATTATAATAAAAATGAACGAACCACATCCGGATAGCTCTCTTTGAGTCTGTGGTTGAATGCACTGAGCTCCCTTCCTAGTGGCGCCCATCTTTGCTTTTCCTTATCACACTCAGCTTCTTCTCCATAAGACGAATACAAAAGTGAGAATATCTGACTGTATTGTTAATGAGCACCCGATGCAGAGAAAACTTACCACAGCTGCGCTGCACAACAGCATGCCTGGACTGACACTTTTGTTGACCAATGTACACCTTATAAGCCATTCATAAACAATGACAGTGCAACCCTCAATACTCTAATTTAAGCACTGCTATCGTAAGTTCAACGATACTTGCCGTTGCCGTCCAAAACTGAATTTATTCATATCTTTGGAAAACATTCAGAAGGTTCAGAAGCGGGAAAGGATTCTTGCTACATCTAATCTGCTGAACTATGCGCGTTAACAAATACTCTTGTCGAAACAAACAGCAACAGCAAGCGCATATAAACACTGACTTGCTAACACAATTGTTTCAAAAAATCCAGTTTTCCAATCTCAAAGTTTATCGGGTTGGCAGCTAAAGTTGCAACCTTTCTCACAGCCTTCCTCTTTTTCAATAAGTCACAATTTGATTTTAGCACTATGTACGGGGTGACAATGAAATGTAAAACTCTAATTACGAAAAAAAATGAAATTAAGGAACTAAAAATAAAACTCGATATGATAGAACTATGTTTCGCAAGCTGAGTCCAAATCTACTTTTGAAATTAAAATCCATCGGTATTGATAGAAGTCATGCCAAAAGGAAGCAAAGTGGCGATTTCAGCGAAAGTGACAGTAAAGTCGGCAAAGTCTCCGTTTTTGGAGGATCTCTAGCCAAAACTATGATCGGTGGCATGAGCTACAAACATGCAAATATCTGGCAATTTCTTGTTACAAACTAGAAATTACGGTGAAATTAGTGTATTTACGAGTTTAAGCAGATTCGAAGCAGTGCAGAACCTGGACAGAATACACTAGCCGAAACAGCAAAAGGACTTGCCAGAGGTTGATTTACTGAGAAGATGTATATTGAAGACAAAGTGAGATATAGCATTTTCGAGAAGTTCACGAGTAGCTGTAGTCAAGCTGCTGTGGGCATCGTCAAACTGATTGTGAAGTAACCATAGGATTCACCAGGGGTATGCTAGGTTTCACTTAGCCTGTTGAGCACAACTATTACACTCTAACTGTATTTCATAGTAAACTAGCTGGCTTACCCGGCTCCGCGCGGCCCTGTCAGAACACTATGTCAAAGAACACTATCCCTATTCCTACACGAACCTTTCCCTGTGCCCACGCCTACATGCCAAATCACTGTTCCCGCTCTTTTAGTAATCAGCATGCTCGATTACCCCCTGTGCCAACTCCCAGCCCCGTAGCTCAAACTTTGCAAAAAAATCGATAAAATCGATAAAAGTAGTCGATAATCCTGAAAACTAATATTGTATTAGGAATCCCCATGCTCGATTATCCCCCTTTGCACACTCCCAGCCCCAAAGGTCAAACTTTACAAAAAAAATCGATAAAGTCGATAAAAGTAATCGATAATTCTGAAAACTAATATTGTATTCAGAATCCTCATGCTCGATTATCCCCCCCCCCCTGTGCCAACTCCCAGCCCCGTAGGTGAACTTTGTAAAAAATCGATAAAAATCGACAAAATCGATATCGATCGATGATGAAAAGTAGCCTATGACACCCGCCGTGGCCCGAAGTGTATGTGTGCCAAGTTTGGTCCGGATCGGTTCAGAAATGGAATTTTCTATCCGGAACATACGTACATACAGACAGACAGACATACAGACTTACAGACATACAAGCAGACATTCAGCTTCATATATAAGATTTTTCAATACAGCCTTACTAGAGAAACCTTGATACGCAAAATGAGTGCAATTTTCGTGACCAACTTTCCTTCTCTCTGAACTTACAAGGAAAGCGTGTTCAGTCAAAGTGGCCTTTTCAGGTGAGACCCATACCGTTTTAAAGAGTATTGCACGGTGATTCCAAATCTGCCTTCGTTATCTGCCAAGCGCCTCTGGACGCCGAGTTATGGGCGTTTTCTGGGTCAAAAAATTGAACGCAATACTGGAGCAAAATCGCTCAGTTATGCTCAAATGGTGCGGTGTCGAGTATCAGAGCAGTTTATAAAGTGGATACATTTTGTCTAATATGCTAACACTTAACACTGCTTTATATGAGCGCTAGAAAGATTGTAACAATTGATTTTACCTAACTTCTGCAATTTTTCGTCCCAAAAAATGGTCATAACACGGTGCCTAGAGGCGCTTGGCAGATAATGAAGGCGGATTTGGAGCCACCGTGCAATACTCTCCAAAGCAGTATGGGTCTTATCTGGAAAGGCCACTTCGACTAAACACGCTTTCCTCGTAAGATTCAGCCGAATCGGAAACAAGCTTTACTTCCCATCAATAGTATCCTACCTAATCTTTACATGGACGGCAGAATTTGACAGTGACTGCATTTGGAACCCAAATGATGCTCTACAAAAGGGGCTGATTTGGATGACCATAGTACGCTTTCTCCTTCAAAAAAAGAAAGAAGTCTTAGAAAAAGACGTTGGACTTGCTCGCCCCCATTAGCGAGAGTTGTTCTGTATCTGCAGATTAGATTGAGTAAATAGTCTCTTGCTTTTCTCTGAGTAATAGACCAATGTTTTCGTTGGATTGCATAAACATATTGCGTTAAAAATGGTTCGAAACGAGAGAACTCAAACTAGACGCCAGTCATCTCAACGAATCTTCATGTCAAAATCTACCTTGAATAGATTATCACTGCATATCTGTACTCATAACAAACATATTCCAATAGCAAAACTTACCTTAAAGTGGAGACCACTTTTAGGTAGCCTGTCAAGGTGACAACCATGAGGTTCTTTGAAGATATATGTCTATATATGGCTATAGATGCTCTAAAAGGCGAATGGGCGAAAATGCCACTTTGCAAGAACAATACTTAGCCGAATTCGTCTTTCCTGGTTCCTGGCTACTGCGTCCTTCCTGATCCGACACCATTCCGCACCAGAGTTACGACGCCCTGGGATGCACCGCTAGCGGACACTTATTTTCAAACTCCTTCGCTCCAAATGACGGACCCGCATGCTTTACCGCGAAATAGAATTCAGCTTCACCGCCATTTTTACTCCCATATGTGCAAGTGGTTTAATTGATAAGCACTTATTTTCATTTCGAGATGCCAATGATTGATGATCGATAGAAGGACCCAGCAACAGCTTGGAAAGTAGCTTAGATCCTTCTTTGGGGTTGGAGACATAAGTGACCGCCAAAAAGTTGCGGACAAGTGGCCCTCCTGTTTTCAGCGCTCATTTTCGGATGGAAAACAGGGATGAAAAAAATTGGATTACATGAGGTGGTAGAGCTCATCAAGAGCTACACTCCACACATTGCAATTTCGGAAAACATATATTATGAAAGTTTTAAAAGATTTCTAAAATCTTTTAAAACTTTCATAATACATGTTTTTTCTAAAATACATTCTTTTTATAAAATAATTCCAAGAACTGCCGCGTCACAATGTCGCGGACAATAATTCTTCGAACGCGAAAAATTTCTTTTAGGTCTTTTCTTGGGGCAAAAACAGAAGTTTTCCGGATAGGTAAGCATACTATATTGTAGAGCACATCGAGGACAATAACCGGGTAGGGTTACTTCCAAAAAACCCAAGCTTGACTTTTATTTTGCTTTTTTCCAAAAAATAATTTTTAAAACCCTTTTTCAACCAAGTTTTTTCACAGGGACCTACTCAAAACATCCCAACAAAGCTATTAGGATAAAATAAATACTCTTTGCCATCCTCTGTGCATCGGACATGTGCTGACAAGTTTCTTTGCTGAAAATGGCTCTTGACAGTGCGTACACATAACCCCACCTGCACCACACCACTGACTCGCACTGTTTCACAGGCTTATAACTCGGCCACCAGTCAATCTAAGAGCCTAAAAATAGGCTCAATCGAAAGAGCATGATTCCCTGGACGCGACAATATGCAAATCAGTTGTGTATGGGAAGTCGCGGAAATTCTGCGGATAGGGTGACAAAGCGCGCTTCAGTGATAGGCTAAGAATTTATCAGGTAAAGTTGAGCAAAGCTCCTCTCGCCATCAGTTCCATTTCTTGTAAAAGATCCATTTCGAAGCTCTAAGACTGTTCTAGTGTTGATACTAGCCTCCATTCCAAAAACCTCCATGGCTGCGCTTTACCATCCCATCCAATCTCCGGGATTTCTCAAACTCAACCTTTGCATACCATCAGGTCGACGAAGTCACGCTCTTTCGAATGAGCCTAAACATGGGCTTGTAGATTGATTGTCGTCCGAGCTACAAGCCTGTGAAGCGGTGAAAGTTGATGGTGAGGTGCAGGAGGGGTAATGTGCAGGCACTGTCAAGAGCCATTTTCAGCAAAGAAACTCGCCGGCACATATCCTATGCACAGAGGATGGCAAAGAGCATCCGTTTTAGGCCCCGGACAGACTTCACGCGACTTAATTGTCGCGATCTAATCGCCAAGATTTCCATTCATTTTCATTTCACATTCAAAAATTTCGGGCTGGAAAAGTATCACAACCGAATGCAAGTTGATCGGCATGGAATGATGTTGTAACAGTTGTCTCGTCGCGATTCAGTCGCGACGATCAAATCGCGTGAAGTCTGCCCGGGGCCTTATCCGAATAGCTTTGTTGGGATGTCTCGAGTAGGTTCCCATGTGAAAAAACTTGGCTTGAAAAAGGGTTTTAGAGGTTACTAGCTGGCAAACCCGGCTCCGCCCGGCCCTGTCATTATTATATTCGTAATCAGCATGCTCGATTACCCCCCTGTGCCAACTCCCAGCCCCGTAGCTCAAATTTTGCAAAAAATCGATAAAATCGACATCGATCGATGACGAAAAGTAGCCTATGACACCCGCCGGGGCCCGAAGTGTATGTGTGCTAAGTTTGGTCCCGATCGGTTCAGAAATGGAATTTTCTATTCGGAACATACGTACAGACAGACAGACAGACAGACATACAGACAGACAGACATTCAGCTTTATATATAAGATTGGAAAAAAGCAAAATAAACAAGCTTGGTTATTTTGAAGGTTACCGCTACTCAATTATTGTCCTCGATGAGCTCTACAATATAGTATGCTTACCTTTCCGAAAACTTCTGTTTTTGCC